TCCTGAAGCTCCCTGTTAAGTGCATCATCATCTTGGGCAACATGATTGAGATCTGACTGTTGAGGATCGTGATCGAGTGTTCGGGACAAACGTTTACCCATTAGCAAGAGTTCTTGGTGGGAGAACTAACTGATTCGGATTCAGAAGACTCCATTGATGTACCCCCACATTTCAAATGAAGAACCCTAATAATGGAGAAAATTATAGATAGCTAAGAAAAACTAGAGTGTAAGAGAAGGAATAGAATTTATTTATGTGGAAAAACCATAAGACGAAGAATGAAGAAAGTGTGAAACGAAAAGGGGTTTACTTTCTTGCTGTGGGTGAGCAAATGGGAATGCTGTGTGTTTAGTACATGCTACTTAGGACTCTCTGTCTTCTTGTATTTTCCTATGTCTGGGTGCATGTACCTTACTACGTATTTCAATACAGTTCATTCAACTGCCATGACATATTTCCTTCAGATGTCAACTCATACATAACACTATTTTCCTGTTTTTCTCTTATTTTTATAAATCAAAATATTAATCTAATACCTTTTTATGTATTGTTATATATAGAAGATTTTATATGGTAATTAAGAAAAAAACTATGATAAGTATGATTTTGGACGGATTTTACAGACCAAATAAAATAGATAAACAAGTAATTCGGAAACAAAATAAGAGTATGAGAAGCTCTTGTATATGAAATATAATTTTTAGAAACTATTTAATAATATTTTAAGATACAAGTATTAGGTGATAACGGGGTGTGTGTGTGTGAGAGAGAGAGAATGACACCAATTTATCATAATTACTCATTTTCTTAACATTAATAGCTAATATTTCTTTCACTTGAATACATTATTCACTTTTCAAATTATAAAAATAAAATGGATTTCATATTTTATTTCTATTTTAAAATGAAAATCTATTTGCAAATTAATTCAAATGTCAATTAAACCATGATATTAAATATTTTATAATTGGTGTTACTTTTATAGTTGTAACATGCCTTAAATAATTACATAGGAATACACATTTCTCTTTAAGAAAAATAATTTAAGTTATCATTGAATTAGTGTATTTTTAATGAATAAAAAAAGGAAAATTGTATCACTTCATATTTTTTTTCTTAATTTCAATACTATAGTTATATTTTGAGTTATCAAATTGAATTTTCGGATAATGAAAACCGGTTGTAATTACCTTCACTAATATAATATTGTGTTTTAAAATAATAATAATTAAATAATTTAAAAAATATATGTAAAATAATATAATATCATAACTTTAGAATGCAAGAATTCTTTTGTGTTTGAATACACGTGTAAGATAAAATAAAAAATAAAAAATATAATTAATTTGATGTATCCTTAAATTTTAATTGATTTGATCATGTATTCATAGTATGTATGGATTTTATTTTTACATATTTGGGTTAATTTGATTTTGAAAGCGTATATCTTGATTACATTTTTAAAAAATTATGTTCAAGAATAAATTGTGCCTATCTAGTACTATCTTAAGTTATCAGGGTCAAATACAACTTCAATTAAGATTAATTATACTTAATCATACATTTAATTAAAGTCCAACAAGAAGCGGCGACTTCTGCTCTATCTGCTCCAATTAGACAATCACTGCAGTTATTCAGAAGAGTGACCATTTCTTCCAACTACTGTTGATGATTTCTTCATTTTCATATTATTTTATGTTTTCTTTTATAAAAGTCATGCTATTTATGCATCAATTCTCTTTTGCTATTTTTATTTTTTTTAACTTTTTGTATTTTCTAAAATTTTGATGTGCATATTTTTTTATTATAAATTATTTTTTAATAATTTGATTAATTGATTTTAAAATATAACATTTTAAAAAATTTATACAATCATATATTTTCTAATTTTATGATATTTCTTTTAATAATTTAAATTTTTTTATAATAATTTATATCTTAAATGTTTTATAATAATACGATAAAAAAATTAATTTTGGTGTAGACAGTTTTTATAACTCCATTCACAAATTAAAATAAAAATTTCAAAAATTTTAATCATATTATTATAAAAAAAATCGATATAAAATGTTATCAAAATTTTTAAATTATTAAAAGAAATATATTAAAATTAGAAAATATATGAGAATATAAAAAGTTTAAAAATGTTTGAAATTTTTAAATTCAATTAATCAAATTTTTAAAAAATAATTTAAAATAAAAATTATGCATATTAAAATTTTAAAAAATAAAAAAGTTAAAAAACAAATTTGGGTAAGTGAAGTCGGGCAAAAAGAATAAAACTTCTATACAAAACATTAAAAAAATATATAAAAATGAAGAAATTATCAGCACTATATTACTTTAATGTTAGTGACTTCTCGAGAAGGTCATCACTCCTTTACACGATTTCAGCATTTGTCTAATTGAAGCTAAAGTTACACGATTTCAACATTTATTTTTAATTGAAGCAAAAGTTGTTCATATCTTATACGACTTTAATTATAATTAGGTATAAGAACCTAGAAAACAGAGTATTAGAGATGATAAGTGTTTTAAAACAGTAAGACTAAATATTATAAAATTTAAAAATAAGTTGATTAAATAAATAAAATTTCTTAAACTTGTCTCATCATCTTAACTCACCTTCTCTTTAAATATTATTCTCTTGAATTCTCTACCATCTATCTAAGAGTTCTAACTCCTCGACCATTTCTTTAATGATCAGGAGGTACTTAGAAGATCACGACGAAGTAATCTCCACTTCTACCCTATCAGTTTTTTGTTTAGAGCAAATAAATTTCTACCTATTTTTCCTTTTATATTTGGTCTATGATCATGTAGAGAAATATGTTTTGCATGTATCAAAAGTTCTTCTTCCTTGACTCTTGGTCAATTTGAGGTTTTAAGGTTTGATTCTGATCACCAATTGGTGAGTTGTAGGCTTTTCTAAAGTTCCTTGCAATGAAAGCAATGGTTGGGAGTTCTTAGAGTCGTAGGAGTTCTTTCTAAGGTAAGGGAAACCAGACTTTGTTTTATATTATGTATGTGCCAAAAGAAACATCAAAGGTTACATACAGACCATTTGAGAATATGATGTTCCCCCCCTATGAAAAAGAGATATAGCACAATGATAGTATGTGAGCAGTGTATGATTGATATCACAATGTGTATCAAAGCTCAGTGTACAAATTCGAAATAGTATATCAGATGTATTTGACAAATTTTAAAGTAAATATACTAAATTCACATGAATATATCATATGATATCAAGTGCATGTTCCAATACTCATGTAATGTATGCAATGTAGATATATCAAAGAGTATTATTGCACAAATGACACTAAGGTATCAACTATTATACAGCAAAATATATCATACAAGTGTTAACAAATTTGCAGTAAAGTAATGAAACTCATAGTGATGCATATATGATGGATTTCCAAACGAGTTTTGAGATATATGCAACATATCATATGTGTTTCATACCAAACATATGATAAGCATATAAAACTAGATTTGATGACCTAATCGATTACATTACTAATGTGACAGATTATAAAACTGTAATCCATATTATTTAACAGATTATACAATTGTTTAATTTGTTAAAGTTCGTAGATATGATCATAAACATAGTATATGATCATTCAACCTGTTATGATCACTTTACAACCTACAAAGACAACTTTCTCAACATTGTATCATGTTAGTATTATAATAAACATGATTTGAGCATCAGTTGTATATTAAAATTCATGATCAACGAATGATATGAACAATTGAGTGATAACGGAATGCTTTTCAGACTCATTGAGTACAACTTTGATCTAGAATGCCTAGTTCATTTTTTATTGTATAAAATCTTTCCTTTGACAATGGTTTTGTAAAGATGTTAGCCCATTGGTGTAAAGTATCCACAAATTCAATTTTAACTTCACCCTTTGAGACATGATCTCTAATGACATGATGTATTATTTCTATATGCTTTGTTTTCTAATCCATAATAGGATTTTTGGTTAAGTTGATAACATTGGTATTATCACATTTTAAGGGTATCTAATCTAAGTAAATGCCATAATCCTCCAACTGACTTTTGATCCAAAGAGATTGAGTACAGCAGCTTCTAGCTGCAATATACTCGGCTTTTATGATAGATAATGCGGCACAAGCTTGTTTCTTCGAATACCATGTAGTTAGTAAGCATCCTAGTAAATAACAAGTACCACTAGTGCTTTTTTTTGTCAAACTTTCACCCACCAAAATCAAAATCACTATAACCCTCTAAGGATATGTTTGCACCTCTAGGGTACCATAATCCAATAGTTTTAGTTCCTTTAAGATACTTCATAATTATTTTTACAGCAGTTAAGTGTGATTCTTTTGGACAAGATCGAAATCTAGCACATAAGCATACACTATGCATGATGTCTGGACGGCTAACAGTCAAATAAAGTAAGAAACCAATCATATTTTAATACATTTTTTGGTCAATGTCCTTACCTTTTTTATCTTTATCAAGATAGCAGTTAGTGGCCATTAAAGTTGCAGCTTTTTTGCATTCATCTATTTTAAACTTCTTTAATAGGTCAACATGATATTTGGATTGGTGGATGAATATTCATGCATCCCCTTGCTTTACTTACAGTCTAAGAAAGTAGTTGAGTTCCCCATCGTTAACATTTCAAACTCCTCTTGCATATTCTTAGAAAATTCTTTGCATAATAAAGGGTTAGTAGATCCAAATACTATATCATCAACATATATTTGCACAAATAATAAATCTCTTACAGATTTCTTAATAAATAGAGTTGAATCAACTTTACCCCTTTAGAATTCCTTTTTAAGTAGGAATTCACTTAACCTTTCATACTAGGAGCGTGGAGCTTGCTTAAGGCCATAAAGAGTTTTCTTCAACTTAAAGATATGATCCAAAAATTCAAAGTCTTGTAAGTTAGGCGATTGTTCAACTAATATTTCTTCCTTGATGTAACTGTTAGAAATGCACTCTTCACATCCATTTAATAAAGCTTGAAGTTCAGCATTGATGCAACGGCAAGTAGGATTCTTATTGCTTCATGTCTGGCCACAGGTGCATAAGTCTCATCATAATTGATGCCTTCTTCTTGGCTATATCCTTTTGTTACAAGTCTTCCTTTGTTCTTGATGATAGCTCCAGAATCATCCATTTTGTTTCTAAAGACCCACTTTGTTTCTATCACTTGTTGAGCATTTTTCCTTTGAATGAGCTCCCACACATTTTTCCTTTTGAATTGGTTCAACTTTTCTTGCATTGCCAAGAACCAAATTTTATCTTTCAAAGCATCATTAACATTCTTCGGTTCAATTTTGGATACAAAGGCCACATTCATGCATAATTGATTCAATTGTCTTTTAGTAGACACATACTTTATAATATCACCTATAATGTTGTGATTAATCATTATTTTATCCTATTCACTGAGCTTTTTGTACTAGATTTAATTAGTGAATCGTGCTTAACTTTCCATTATTTTCTTAGTTTTGTTATTTAGGCTTAATTTGACCAATAATTCATATTTTAATTAATTTGAATTATTTGAGCCTAATTATTCTCACTATTAATTTCAGGGAAATTTTGGAATTATATTTTGGGACATAAAGAGAGTTGTCACGTCGTCTACCATTTTCCACCTCAGCATTTTATTTTTGTTTAACTTGTAATTTCGTTTTTGAGTTGTTGGGTCAGACTTTTGAACTTTGGACCCATTTTAGACAATTAGGAAGAAGCCCAAATGTGGGGGCAGACTTGGCTGACCTAGGGTGAAGTGCCCATGCAAACTTGACTCTCATTCTCATTCCATTCGTTTTAGTGCTGTAGAACGTAGGAACAATGACTCCTCCTTAGGTTTCATTTTCGTTTTCTTTTCCTTTCATATACTGAATCATTTTCGTTTTAATTTCCAATTTTGTTTTCTGTTCTTGCTTCATTTTCATTTTCCAATTGTATTTTCGTTTTCGTTTGCCTTTGTTTTGCTGCAATTTCCATTCCCAATTTCATATTCCAGTTTTGTTTTCATTTTCTCATTTCGCTTTACAAGTTTCATGCTCATTTTCATTCCAGTTTTAATATCGTTTTCTAGTTTGACGTTCTGCATTTTGTTTGCCTCTACTGTTCGATGTTTCTAATTAGTTTTTGTGTGTTAAAACTCATTTTAATGGAAGCTTAATTTTCTTGGTTGGTAATTAGGGAGATTGCAATTGCGTCCTTGAGATTACTGCACTGTCATTGTAATTCTGCTTTTTCATACTTTGCATAATGTTTAATCTATTTTGTACTTGCAATTAGGACACGCTTAGTGGTGTAATTGGTGTTTAATCTCTGCTTAGTTGATTAACCTTTGTGGTGCATAAATGATTAGATATATGCATTGTGTTTGCTTAATTCTCAATTTTGAAGATCGGATTAACCTTCGCGTAGTTGGTTAATTCGTGTTGGATTAGGGTGAGATGAGTTTGTAATTTGTTGTTAATCAAGGATAGGAAACATTGCAATTGAATTAGTGACCAATCGCTTTTAATCATTGTTTAATTTAAGGTGTTTGTTGTGTTTAATTCAATTCGTGAAACTACTCAACCCCCCTCTTCCCACTACGTATTTGATCTTATGACATAACCAAAAATTTGTCCTTGAGAAACAACCTAGGAGTCATTCCCTAGTTACTGCATTAAATATGCAATATTAATTTGAGTCGAGCACGACATCGACGATCAAATTTGGCATCGTTGCTAGGGACCAACGATTGTCTTAGGTTTTGTGTGTTAGTGTGTGTTCTATTTTGTGTGTGTTTTGTTTGGAGTTGTGTGTGTGTTTAGTTTTTGTGTTGTGTGTTTTGTTTGTACGAGTCAAAATTGGGAGAATTAGAGGTATTTGGCATGTTGGTTATGCAAAACCACTGAAAACCACCGAAAACCACCTTTAAAACCACCATGAATAGTGTCATGAATAGCTTGTTGAGTACTAGGAGTGATGTGAACACTCAAAGGAAATCTCGGCTAGGGTTGTTGAGTACCAAGAGTGGTACGTTTACTCAAAGGAATTTTCGGCTAGGATTACTGAGTACCAGGAGTGGTGCTAATACTCAGAGACCGAGTGGTGGTAATACTCATTTGTAATCGTGTGAAGATTATAGTGAAACTCTCTATAAATGTGACTGGACATAGCTCAGTTGGAGCAAACCAATATAAAAATACTTGTGTAATTATCTCTTCTCTTATCTAAACGATCCTCTTACAAAAACCTACGGTTGCGCTTTACCTCTAAACACAAGAATCTTCAAGCTAAAAGTTCATTTTTGATAAAGGAAGTTCATACAAAACATTGTAGGATATATTCTAAATAGCACGTCAAAAACCATTATCGTTTATTCATATTTATCAACTCGAACGTCTAAGCTTTTAAAAGAAAATTTCAAGAGCTCGATAACGTGTTATATCGGAAGGGTTGCGAAAAGTTTTTCATTAACACTATTCAACCCCCCTCCCTTCTAGTGTTTTTCAGGTACTTCATAAACCACATGGAAGTTTCTCCTTTCAATGAGGTTAAGAAATCCCTACACCAAATGCATTAATTCATAGTGTAGAAAAACATTTGGTTCACATACATCTACATGTGTTTGTTAGAGTCGAAGGAACTGTCGTACTCTTCAAAGGTCGGTATCTTTTAATGATTAGGTAATACCGTGGCGACAGACAGGGCACCTTTTTTTCTAGCCCTACTATTTTCTTGAATTATTTGAGTCAGTTCTTCCTAGGTTGTTCTTGGGGTTGCTTTATTGGTCTTAGGAGGGTTAGGGTGAATGACATTGGGTCTTTGTCACTTGTCTCTTACCTAAAGGTGGTGTTACCAGCTCCCAACACCCTTAACTCCTCTTCATACCTTTCTCTTTGTATCATCTATTTGCTTTTGCACTCTTCTCATAAAGCTTCCTCTAGCTCAATGTTGTTTGTTATGTTCCATGTGGTCATAATGTGAGTTTTGAAGGAGTGATTGTTCAGCCCCATGATAGGCGCTATAATGTTTTGGGTGTATAATGCCGAGTGTACACTCTAAATAGTCTTCCTCACTCTTCAACTTCCTTCCTTTCTGTTTGGATGCTTCGATCGGTCGAGTTAAGTTTGTTCGAATTGAATCGGTTAAACAATTAATGTTGTAATAAATGCATCGTAAAAATTCCAAAAACCATACCTTTAAGTTGTATTTATAGATTTTCTCATGAGTTTCTTATTAAGATTGACTTAATCACAATCCAATTTTATTAACCTAATTATTGACTTATTTAGTTTAGTTGACAGATTAGCTAATTTACTAGTTAGTTTCCTTCCAATTCGGACAATCGATTAGAGATAGTTCGATCTGTGTAAAATAAGTAGGTAAATGCTTTATGATAAAATATGTGGTTTGAATACAATTTTTTTTAAAAATTTAAAAAAATAATTTGATTACTTAAAACGAAATAATTCCAAATTTAACCTAAAACTTAGAATTTAATTTTTTTTTATTTTCTTTCTTTTCTCAAATTCACGTCTCTTATCTTCAAAATTTCTCTCGATTCGATTTGAGTTGAGATATTGTCCATTTGACTTTAGTTGAGAAGTATATCTCATTGGCTTGACATTGTTTTTCGTTTTTGTGTTTTTGTTTTTTCTACTGTTCTTAACAATTGTTTCATTTTAGTTAAAGTTAACCATAATCAAGTGTTTTTTTCAACATCAATAATTTTTTTCACTTGTATCCATTATATTTTTTTTGCATCAACAAATATTATTTTCGGTTAATGTTCTATAGAATTATTTTTTACCAACATCAATTAAGACGTAGATTAGTTACTTCTCAACCACTGTTAATCAAGAATTTTTGTCAAGTAAGATTTTCAATTGACACGTATGAAACTATTTTTCGACTGATGTAAATTACAAATTTTGAACCAATATTGAAATGAATTATTTTCTAATTAACATTATTAAAATTATTTATTTGTCAATTCTGACAAAAGCATTTTGCTATCATTCAATTAATAATTCTCATAGTTTTCTCTACGAGTGAAAAGGGAACTATTTTGTAATTGTTGTCAACTAATTTTTCTTATTGAAGTTTGTAAGGATTATTTTTAGTCTTGGATTAAAGTGATCATTTTTATATTTGGTATAAGTTAAAATATTTTGTCCAAATAAAAATAATTAAAATTAATGAACTCGACTTATCTTGAAAAGAAAAATGTTGGAAAACTTAAATAATGTAAAATAAAAATGAATTCAAATTTAATGTATCTAAATTCATTGAAAATTGAAAATTGAAAATTTCCTTATCCAGTAATTTAAATTTTTTAATTTTCTATTTCTATATAGAATGATAACTATATTACTTGCTGTAATTTTTAATTACTCAAATTTTCATTTGCATATCGTATAGAATTTATATCCCACGGTTTTCTACTGACTTAAGTTGTGCTCATACATGATCATTAGACTTAGCACACCATCACTGAGAATAACATTAAACTATAATTTTTATTTTCTTCATAGTAGTAAGCTATTTTGTATGCTTTCAAAATTCAAAATAACTTCATTTGTAACTGTACGTTTAGATAGCATACAATAATTCTTTTTCCATTTTATCAACCTCCTCAAAGTATATTAATTTCTTGTGCATAATTTCCGCAGGAAGTACCAGGAGATTGAGATGAAGGATTGGGGAAATTGCATTTCTAATTGCAATAAATTAATCACGAAGGTTGGAAGAACATTAGCATCATGTTTCTAGATCCAAGCAATTGCTTTAATTGTAATGAACAAATGGGTTGAAGACCCAAAAAAGCAAACAGAATTAATAGTTACTACAAATGGCAATTGCAGGGATATCCTACACTGTCACTAAACCCTAGTCCTAGCCGGGTCAATTGAGCAATGGATTAAGAAATTCATAAATAGTCATGTTAAATAACAATTAAGCTTCTATTCCACTTTCTATTGACGACTCTTCTTCGCCGAATGGCCAGTCTTTCGCTTATGACGACTGAAATCAGACACAAATCTGAAAGTTTGTCCACAACCTGGCTCTGCACACACATAAGGGCGTGCACCAGTGTGGACTCGAATGTGCTCAGTACGAGCCCATGCCCACTTGAAAGTCATCTTGCATCCCTTCCAAGGGCACTTCAAGGGTCTCTCATCCTCATGAACTCTTCGGTGTTGCACCAGATACTTGTGTGAGAAAAACTTCTTCCCACACCCTTTTACAGGGCAGATATTTTTCTTGTGATGCAGCAGCTCCTGTTTTGACCCAAAGCTCATACTGCACCCATCAATATCACACTGATAATCTGCTTCCTCT